TTTATCCTTGGGACGTCCTAGGAATATCCCTTCTTCGTACTCGGTTCATCTCAGGGACGTACCAGAAGGGACATCCCTTGGATGTCCTGATGTCTGAAAGAAGATGTCCCTGGGACGTCCCTAGTATGTACTTTGTCCCAAAAAGAATATCCCTGGGATGTCCTAGTTTGAAATTAGGGACGTCCCTGGGAAGTCCCTAGAATGTACTCGTGTTGTTAGGGCCTTCATCCTCGTAATTCGGAAAATTTTTTAGTAATTCAAACACTTTTCTGGGATACTTTTTCATGAATTTTCCGAATCTGTGCTCACTTTTTCCTCACATCGACAGATTAAAGGGTGGCTAAAAAATTTTTTTTCCAAATGAAATAATGATTGAAAATTTTTTCCGTAATTCGATGGAGCTTGTCAATCCAAATTCAAATATATAAAGCATCCATATATATTTTTATCTTATTATATTATATAAATGGAAAAGTGAACACAGATTAAAAAAATTCGTGAGAAATTATTTCAGGAAAGTTTTTGAATGGCAAAAGAGGGTTGAAAATTACGAGGATTGAGGAGAGGTCACATTTAGTTAGGACACCCTCTGTACCTTAGCCTTGTTGATCAAGCCGTTGAATATCTTTCAAATTTCAGCCCTACCAGCAGATAGATTGCAGGGCATAATCCCAAGAAGAATGAAGTTGTTTGTGTTATTTGTTAGGTTGCGGGCTTCGATGTTTTGTCAGCTTCAACGCCTGAATCGTCTAAGAGGTCTACCTGCACGATTGAATAGTAAACACTCAAAAATGTGTTTAGCTTGAATGAAATAGTTATGACGTGATATTGGATGTCGTTCGCTTGGCTTGGGACAACACTGGAAGTTCTGAGACACACGACACCCTCGAAAACTGCGAAGCCTTACACTAAGAAGAATAAATGTGCGTGCGCAAACGCTTAGAGCAGAAGACGGAAACCGATTGCCAAAGGGACGGTTCGGCTATGAGGAATATGCTGAATTGCATCATACTTGATATTGAATGCGTTCCCAATCATTATTCTGCCTTTCAAAATAAAATATATGATAAACCTACCAAATAGTTTCTCACTACTTATTTGATGAGTATTTTTTTTTCGCAAAAATACTGTGTTAGAGCCGCACCATAATTATTAAGGATGTTTTTTCCTTCGATGAGTCCTACATAAGCATTCGAAATATAGTCTTCATCAAATAATTCATAAGATCATTCTTCTATTAATTTCGAAATGTCTCGGAATATAATAGCTTCTCAGGTACATACTAGGTAAAGGGATTAGCTATATCGATTAAACAATTTTCCTTATCACATGATGATAAAACATAGTGTCGCGTGCTGAAATATATTTCAGTTCTTCAAAATGAGAATCATCGTATTGTATTAAAGTGGTTCACAAAATTCGGGTGTACTCTTGAAATGTTTGGTAATATATATCTACCTACATACCAATTGTGAGTTGCCCCGAACACTTTCAGTCATTAACAATCAGAATGAATTCGAGATTTTTAAGAAAGTTAAGTAAAGTACATACCTCCATGTTGATCTCGAAAACGAATGTTTCAAGAAATCACAATCAGAGTGAATCTGAAATGTCATTCACCATCCAAATAATTTCGAAATGTTCCGCTCACATCATCAGATAATAAAAATAAATATCTCAAGATGTTCTAGAAATCCTTCAGAACAATTTTGACCATATAAGAACATCCTTCTGAGGTATTACCAAATTAAGTTTTGATTTCTTAAATGTATAATGAATTAACATTCATCATACAGGACGTGGAAAGAAATTCTGAATTGAGAAAAACCTCATCACGAATCTGCGATTGAGGTCTATAAAAATAACAAGTTTCCATCGTTCAAGTTTGAACCCCTTGATTGGGTGAAACTATTGAAAAAGAACATTCTCAGATATATTTATGAACACAAAAAACTGTATAAATATAAAGAAATACATTGAGAATTCGCATTCTCCATGTGATGGAAATATCAATTCTTTCTCGGTTTATTCAACAGAAAACAACTTCTTTCCTGGCTATATGCCACGACAAATATTGAATTACATCTATTGAACACACACGATAAGAATTTGAAAACAAAATCTTCTGACGTAGAGAATTTGCATTCTCCTTCATATAAAGATATGCATATAATGAAATTCTGAATATTCCACAGAAAACAACTACTTTCCTAGCTATATACCACGTCAAACATTGAATTATATCTGTTGAATATCCAAAGAAAGAGAGCATGAAAAATCAAAAATCCTCTGAAATTGAGAATTAACATCATCTCTCAAATCGAATAGAATAATATGATGTATTATGATATAAAAATATAACTCACCGATATGTTCAGTATTGAAATGCATTGGAGAAGTATACTTGTATGATCTCTGATCTTGATGAGCTTGGAACTTCAAAAAAAAATCATTCGTATCAGTGATATGGGAATTATATCTCTCACAAACAGGTTATATGAATTCATTTCGGATATCATATCCTCATCAGTAACCAGAAGTCCAGTTATTCTTTCAGCCATTCTTCATTATATACACAATTTTCATCTCCCTATAATATAGTCATCATGTGGTTTTTACGATTGTTCGATATGCAAGGGGAACACACAAATCACCAGAATGTAAAATCGCAGATCCGTAATCCATCAGAATATACATTTTCAAACCAGTAACTTAACAGAACAATATTTTATAGGAATCGTATTTATCTCTACTGTAGATGCACAGAACCGCAATCCCTCAAACCGTATTTTGTATACTGTACATGAGCATACCAGACAATAACAGATTGCAAATGCGCAGATGTGTATTTTTCTATAATAGCAATATCGCAGATCCGCAAATATACAGAATCGAAAACTAACAAACCAACATCACAGCGGAATGATATTTCGTCAGAATCATAACAACACAGGCCGTAATTCGTCAGAATCGCAGAATGACAGACCGCACATTAGCAGACCGTACTTTGTCAGAATCGAAATACTACAGACCGTTTATCGACAGAATAGTAAAATGTCAGAACCGTACATTGACAGAATAGCAAAAAATCAGAACAGCATATTCACAGAATCTCAAAATATCAGAACTGTAAATTGAAAGAATCGTAAAATGCTAAAACCGTACATCGACAGACTCGTAATACAACAGACCGTATTCCATCAGAATCATATTATATCAGAACGTACAATGACAGAATGTACTTCATCAGACTGTAATGTCATATACTGTATTGTGATAGAATCGTAAACTATCAGAACCGTAATTCAGCAGAATAGTAAAATGTTAGATCCGTAAAATAACAGAATCGTAAAAATTCAGAACCGTACATCGACAGAATCGTGAAATATAGGAACTGTACGTCAGCAGAACCGTAAAAAATCAAAACCGTACATTGGCAGAATCGGAATTCATCAGAATGTAATGCAGCAGAACCGTGAAATGACAGACTGCAGGGAGGCCTACCAGCCACGCGCAGAGCGAACGCCGGTCACAGTGTTGCCTGCTCTCACGTCATGTGGGGATTCTACGTATACTTTCAGTTCGACCTGCTTTTATGTTCCTATTGCTCTTGTACACTCGAGAATGAGATCGTTCATATGATATGAAGTGATGAATGACCACATTTCAATATGAAATTTATGAACGTCACCCAACTTTTTTGCTATATGGAGAAGAAAGTGTTTATTTGAAGTATTTTCTTGAAAACTACAATTCCTTGAAGTCAGTTGAGAGAAGGGTTCGAGAAATAGGTGTTTGGCATGTTACAAGTGTTTGGGATCACACGTTAAAAGGTAAGGCCCCCGTCATTCCTTGCTCGCACATGACTTTCGAAGACTTCTGAGGGTTGCTCTTAAGGGGGCAACCGAATGACGGATAGAACAATTTTACAATTTTTTTTTTTACAACAAACTTTGGAGTTTTCAAAGTTTGATTATGGATACCAAGGTTGGTAGAACTGATTATAATTTGTATAGGAAGGTTGCCTCGATCGATAGTGCGGCAAGGGGGGAAACGGTCACTCGTGACGTCACAGACAGTAAGACGACAAGTTGTCAACCTTAAAGCGACATGTCATGAAATGTTCACCAAATAGATTATACAAACATGATACAAACTTTTTGGTCTGCTCAGCATATTTATATTAATTTACTGTATATAATTATAAGTAAGTACCATTATGAAATATGGATATTTACATATCTGTACCCCAGAGCTAAACTGTATTAAGTCCCATTTTTTGAAAAATGGGTTTATTTGAGTTTTATATATACCATGCTATGCTCTTTCACGTGCTAAATCGTGTTAACTCCTAAGAATGATGATCTCAAAGTTAAACAGTTCTAGATAATCTTAACTCCCAACAGGTATTTAGGCTAGATAATTGTATGTGTACTTAATATTTCTCAAGATTGGTTAGAGAATATTAAATCACTTTTGAGATCAACTCACTGTGAGCCAGATGATATCTTATGTGGAGTTAATACAACATCCGTTTGTTCCTAGAATATTAACTCCTCTCTCGCGACACGGTGCTCTGCTGCCTACATCAGTGTTATGTCCGGAGTCATCCTGTCTAGACGTGAACTCTTAGGGTTGGTGAGGCAATTCATTATTATTATCACTCATGGATAATCCACCTAACAAAAGCAGATCGAGAAGAATGGTGGATGCGTGTAAAAGTGAATCTAACCAAAATCGTGGAATAGTTGTTTCAATAGCCGAAAGTACTCAGGAAAAAAAACTAACCTCAATCATAACAAAATGCGGTAAGTACCAAATTGTTTGCATGTTTCTTTCCACTATTCATGTAGAAATGTGCCCATAGAATGTTAATACACTATTTTGTTCCATTTTCAGTGATTTGAAATCTATCATCTATTCATTTTCCAGAATAATTGGACTTAATATCATTTAGATTTGGAAGATTTGGGATATTAGTGAGTTAATATTTATTTCAGATTTGTTGAATTCGCCACAACCAACGTCTTCTAGTAACCTATTGGAGAAGTCATCAGAAACTGATGTTATGGCACATTTCAGTGAAACTACGTATATAACATCTGAGGAGCTGGAACAACAACATAGTAGTAGAGAGATTCCAAACATTGAATTCCTAGAAAACATCAGAAGCTCTAATTTTCTTGGAACCATTTCAGGTAAAAACCTCATACCTTATAATTAATGAAGCAAAATGATCGCAATTTTTATTACAGATATTTCAAGCTCACATCTGGTGGAAAAAAATGTTGTAATCGATGATAGCGTCCTATCCAATCAACCAACTAATGAAACGACAAGTATACATAACATGACTGGGGATGATGGATTAGACAGCATTTCAACAGAATTCATGGAAGATTCAGATGATTCTATAGCTGATCCTGATTTTCAGGAAGATCCTGAGAAGTCAAAAGAAACTGATAATGACGAAGATTCTGAAGAGTCAAATGACGAATCGGAAAACCCGCCAGCCTCTGTAGAGGACGTTGGATCATTACAGCAAACTGAAGACCCCGTCTTGCCTAGAGGAAGAAAAAGAAAAGCACTACCAGATACTTGGCAAAGAAACATAAGAAAGAGAAGTGTTTTAGGTGGAGCCGAACATAAATATAAAACAAAAGTTATAAAAGCAAAGCAAGTAGGACAGCCGTGCAATGATACATGTCATTTCAAATGCAAGGAACAGATTTCGGAAGACTTAAGGAAGTCAATACATTCAAAATTCTGGAACCCAAATCAATCAATGGATATGAAGCGACAGTATGTAAGTGCAATGGTTCAATTAGTACCAGTGTCACGAATTCGTGAAAAAACAGGCTCAAGATCTGGTAGAAGGAATTTCACCCGCCAATATTGTTTCGAATTCAATGGTTCTAAAATTAAAGTTTGTCAAAAATTTTTCCTCAGCACCTTGAGTATTTCTCAGAGTTTTGTCACAACAGCTTTGAAGAAAAAAATTGATGGTGGGATAGTTGGGGAAGATCTCAGAGGAAAACACGCAGCTATCAATAAAATTCCTGAAAATGTACGCCAAGGAGTTCGAGATCACATAATGAGGTTTCCTATAATTGAATCCCATTATTCTAGAGAGAGATCAAAGAAGAAATACTTGGGTAACGATCTGAACTTGACCAGAATGTACGAACTCTACAAAGCCGAATGCCATGGATGCAATACACCAGAAGAACTCATTGCGAAAAATTGGCTATACATTGAAATATTCCAAACAGAATTCAACTTATCATTCAAATTACCCTACAATGATACTTGTGATGAATGCGACAAACTATTACTTTGCAAAGGTCAGGCGACTGAACCCGCTGAAAGGGATGAGCTTCAGCAAAGATATTCGGAACATATCAATGAAGCTTCCAATAGGTATTCCCTCAAGAAGCAAGATAAGGAACTGGCCCAAAGAAGTAATGAGAAAATAATGATAACTGTAGACTTACAGAAATGTCTTCCTACACCAGTGCTCACAAACGCTCAGAGCTTTTATACACTGAAATTATGGACATATAACTATACCATTAACGAGGCAAGTAGAAATATGACAACTTGCATCATGTGGGACGAGTCAAAATCTGGCCGTGGAGGTAATGAAATGGCTTCAGGAATGTTGGAATGGGCAATGGGCATAGACAAAAGTGTATCAGAAATAACAATCTGGTCTGACAATTGCCCATCCCAGAATCGGAACATTATTATGGTTATGGCCTACTTCTGGATAACTAATAGAAATTCCAATGTGAAAATTATCAATCACAAGTTCTTGCTTCGTGGTCATACTCATTTGGAGGTTGATGGAGATCACTCGCTCATCGAAAGGGAGAGGAAAAAAACACAATTTCTACAAATAATGACACCTTGGGACTGGCAACAAATCGCTCGGCTTTGTAGTAGGTCGAAGCCTTTCAATGTGGTCAACATGGAACTTGGCGATTTCAAAGATTTCAAGACTCTTTATACTTCCAACACATCTCCCTTCATTTATCGCAAGAAAACAATGACTGGAACTGATTTTCAAATATCGAAAGTTGTTCATTTACAAGTGCGCTCTGAAGAAATGGGCAAACTTTTTTATAAAACGAATTTTGAATCTAACGACTTTGACTGTGTTGATTTGAACCGTACTGGAAGACGCATAATGATTCCTGATAACCTTCCACCATTACGTCAACAATCAAATTGCATTTCTACTAAGAAATACAAACACCTGCAGACGTTGTTACCATGGATTCCATCACAGTTTCACAGTTTTTACAAAGAGTTATCCCATTCTGATAAAGTGGATGATGACATTTGAAGTTTTTCTATTATAGTACCTACTTGAGTACATCATAGTTATCCAGGATGGACATTTATTTTTAGAGTTTTTTTTTTTCAGTTCTTGAGGTATATTGACCTCCTTTCTTATGATTGATGTTACATTTCAATTATTTCATAATGTGAGTATATCATATTCTCGAATATTTTACTTGTGAAGTTCTGAGGGCGTAATGTTGTAACAAACCACTGTTCAACCCTATTTCTCAGGAATTAAATGAATGAAATTAAATCCAAACAATAATTCATTGGAATTATCTCCCAATCAACGAATATTATATCATACATGCACTACATTTTTGTGGTACTAAACAGTATTAACTCCATTTTTTTTCGAAACTGAATCATTTTGAATATTGACTATGATCGACAATGAACAACGACATCAAGTTCCACATCATATTATCTCCCCATCCCAAAGAGAAATGAGAGTTGCAATTCATGGATCAATTACTTGAATTTGAATCTTCAAATCAGGCTCCTGTGAAATTCTATTTTTGGTACTTAATACAGTTTAGCTCTGTGGTACAGATATACTTCTGTATAATACCTTCAGTCTTCGAAATGAGAAGGCAATTTTGGATGGATCGGTAGTACAGAGAGGAATACCTATCTGAAATTTTGTTCCAGGGGCTATTTACCAGGTCGTGGTACCAGGTATGTGTGTTTTGAGGTATGGAGCATAATTATGGAGCTAGTGATTACTTATGCATTGATTATGAACCTACTCATCCTATAAATATCCTGCAAATCAGATAATGTGAACAAGAAACTGCAGAAAATATAAGAATAATCAACTGATGATCCAGAAGTAGTAGCAGTGGACCAATATTCGTACACAACAGATCACTTATTTTATCAATATAACTCTGTATTCTGAAAAATTGACAAACTTTCCTAGATACATATAGAAAATACAAGAGGAAATAGTATTTCATTGTTTGAGTATATAGTAGTCAAAAACAGAGCAATTGATCGAAGTATTTGAGCATAAAAAAATAACAAAATATGATTCTGAACAAAATTAATGAAAAATAACACTACTATTATAAGTGAACCTATAATGAAGGATAGTTCAAGGAATCTCTCAAATAAACATAGCTCCTCTTCGTTGGGTAACGTACTCTTGCTCAAATATCTCAACTTGAAAACACGTGTGGTGATATCTTCTGATGTCCATTTTACCCGTTCAGCAAGAATCTCAACATTCACAACTGGTCTGGTTCTGATCATTTTTCCAAACTTGAATATTTATGGTGTTTCTCTTGTTGTATTTGGTATTATTGATGGGATTCCTACCTTGAGTTTTCATCTCTTTGGTGTGTGATTTAGCAATTCTGCTTGTGCCGTTCAAAATCCTCGGCATCGAAATGGGCAGAACAAATTATCATTTTTACATTTTTAAGTTCAAAATGGTTCAAATATTCGAAAATACTGACAACTGTCAACTCAATACATGCGCCGGCCAATTGCCGGCGTACATATCATACACGAAGTGTACGAGAGTGCTACACTTTTCGTGCAAAAGAAAGGGCCTATTACGTCATGAGTTACTCAAGGTCACTCGCGGGGTGCGATCGAGGCAACCTTCCTCTACAAAATAGTCATCAGTTCTACCAACCTTGATAGATACAAGATATTGGATGTTCTTTATATGAATCTATGTCATACCCAGATTCATTCATTTTGTATTTTGTACCCATATTTCTAGAAAAAGGAAGAAGGTGATACGAAACTAGATTGAAATCGAAGTTCAGCTACGGAATTTAGTTTCGAGAATTCTTTATTAACGATAATTAGTGCGGTGCTGTAGATAGGGATTGATGAAAAAATTCTTATACATACATACATACATACATATATGGAAGCCATTGAATGAACGTTCTTGTAAAACTCACTATGGAAGCTATTAAATAAACGTTCTTGTCTATCTGATTCTGATTCTGATCTATATCAGGTGACCTTGGACCATAGGCGCCACCAGATAAAAATAGGATATAGGGCGGACAAAATTCGAAGATGAAATCGGGTAACCTTCGAATGAAAACTGAGTGTGAATACTCAAAGCTAATATTAATCTGTGTAATTCTCGAAATGTCATCGCCAACCATTCAGAACTTGAAGACTAATTTTCCATGATATTGACCATATCCACTCGTCAAAACTGAACCCATCACTAGTTCCTAAGCAGTTTTTTGAACAGCCTCTGTGAATCTGAGATGGAACAATCAATAAAACAATAATGGGCTTATATCACAAAAAAGTTTTATTTCATAATTCGATAGAACTCACCCAAACTAGCTCACCACCGCAAACCGTTTCTTGCTGTGAGCTCCTCACGTTTTATAAAAAATTACTGAAATTCCCGATTTTTCGGACCTCTAAAAACGAGGCGATGATGTGACGTCAGAAACCTAATACTGAAACAAGACAATTCCAGACAAAGATGAATGATACATGATTTCTGACAGAGTGAATCAGCGCGAGATCACAGTTGAAAGAATTAATATATCAGTTGCCTCAGTCTCCTTCGGGCGTTTGGTATTTTTTTTAACTATGGCGAGGTGAGGTTTATACGTCATTAAGAGGGCTCGTTTTCAGAATATACTATTATTTATGTCCAAAAATAAAACATTCCAGCTAATTTTTCGATCGAATTATGTCGTCAATCATTATGTATGTATGAAAGGATCATTATAAACATGGTTTGAGTTAAAAGTTCTACTAAGGTGTACACGCCCATTGATCTTCGCATTGTCGAGTTTAGACGAAAATGTAGTTTATCTAACAAATGCCGAAAGTCATACTTTTCCGCACCTGTTTATTTAGATATAAAGAAATACATAGAGAATTCGCATTCGGTATGTGATGAAATTATCAATTCTTTTTCAGTATATTCAACAGAAAACAACTACTTTCCTGGCTGCGATTTTACTAAATATACTGTACGCTAGCACAAACCACGCCGACCGTAATATCTCATCTTCGAAGTACTTAGGCAAAACTCAGAAACTATTTATCCTCAACGAACTAACCTATCCCTGATTGCAATATTTTTGTGGAAGAAAAACCGAATGGAGTGTAGAAACACATTGATTAATAATATATTTCAAAAGTTGAGATCTTCAACAAAATTGAATAAAATGAGACTGTTTATCCTGAACGCACTAACCTATTTGACTTCAAATATTTCATGAAAAAGGAAAACCAGAATGAAATAAAAAACAAAAAAGTTGCAAATAAAAGTTCAAGTTCACAGCGATTCGAACCATGGACCTCCAGACTGAAAGTCGACAGCGCTAACCAGTAGACCATTTGGGTGTATGAATTTACTGTGTACAGAAAAAACATGTTCAACACAAAAGTGCATTTGCAAAACAGAGGATGTTTTTTGTTGTACTGAATGTAATTGTAACGCTCATTGTAAGAATATTGAAAAATCCGATGACGAAGACCATCAATAAATGTACATTGTTTACTCTTCTGTAAGATGTTTCTTGTAAAAACCGCCTAATTTGCATTTGTGACAATCAACTATACATTCGAAGATATCTTCCATTTCGACAAAATGAGCATATTTTAACGAAGAATACGGTCTAAGCGTGCGACGAGTGAATGTTTCATCGATCGTTACGCTTAGAATGGTTTATTGATTTTACATTTTTGCTCCGACGAAACGCCTCGACTGTGGTGCGCTGTCCTAAAAATTTAATTGCAGAACAAAAACTGTTAGGAATATCCATACCATTGATCGAGATGAAATGTTCCTCATAAAATTACGCAGTTTTTGATGGGAAAATATGAAGTAGTTCATTTGGAAAATAATCGAGTTCTTGCTTGTTGAAGATTAATGAAATATTGAAAAATTATATAGGATAGTTTTTGAAAGTGGTGAAATTTTCAGATATTCGGATGATAAAATATGAATTGTCAATACACCATTCGATTGGTTATACTTCAGGCTACAAAATGAGCCCTCATATGTTTTTTTAGCTTCATCCCCATTATTGTTAGACTGCTATTTTTCAGACATATTGAAAAACGCGATCTTCGTACATTTTTCCCTGTAGAAAATCTCTAGACCATAGGGCGATGTCGTAATTTCTCATTATATATGTGGATGATGAAGACAAAAAATGTCCTTGATGTTCAATTAAGTTATACCCCATGATTGGGTTATTGAACGATAGACCGCACCGTCTGCCGTACTAAAACATGTTCCATTTTTATGTTGAATACGGAAGCAAATTCGCTCCGGAAACGTCAATGTGAAAATGTACCTAATATTTTTATGGTATTCTTCCTTTTTAAAACATTCTTCAAAACAAGGTGTCACTCGTTTTTTCAACAGAATTGAACAAGGATTTCGAGAAATTGGATGAAACCAAAATTGTAGTACTTTTGATCCCGATGCGAAAAGTTGGTAGCTCGACCGGAGTAGGCCGGCTAGATTTCGAAAAAAAAAAAAGATTACATTCAGTATTGAGTGAAATAAATAAGGAGAGTGCCGTAGGCGATTTTTTTCCTTATTCAAGGTCAAATGAGAATTGGATTTTCTCCTACCCTTCGAATAAGTGATTATTTTTACCAAAATCATGAGTCAAAAAATTTAAATGGAAAACATATTCATTGATTTCAGAAACTGAACAGGTACAAATCTGGTACACCTACCTTCATTCATACACGTATTGAAAGAACCAGAGAATATCGAATGACATCGGTCTACGAATGATGAAACAAATTTCTTTCCTTCCTGATCTTCTTTCAGTTTGTTCGTATTCCTTATTATCCTAATATCAGTCCCGTGGTATATATACTATTTTTTCCACCACTAGCTATAAAACCTATCATTATTTACTCCTTTCCGAGGCGTGAAGTAGTGTACTTTTACTGCCAAGGTAGTTTTCGTCATTTTATAACCACTAGTCAATAAATAGCCACCCACCTCTGATATAATAACCCGAACTCACTGTTCTGATG